TATACCTATACTTATACTTATACTTATACTTATACTTATACTTATACTTATACTTATACTTATACTTATACTTATACTTATACTTATACTTATACTTATACTTATACTTATACTTATATTTATACTTATACTTATACTTATACTTATACTTATACTTATACTTATTTTAGTTCATAGCCCTGAATCCTTTATACAAATGCCTAACCCGAAAGGCGTATCGAATTTAAATATTTTAAATGATATGAAGCAGGATGCGAAACGGTTTGCCAACAGCAGCAAAATACCAAACTTCTCTGCCATAAAAATGCTATAAAATTGGCTTATGTATATATAGTGTATCTGTGTACCACTTGAGAGGTACCTAAGTATCTGCTGACCTAAGTGCGGATACACATCAGCTTTTATGACTGTGTGCGTTTGTATATGTATATGTATGTGTATGTGTATGTGTGGGCACATTGTCAATCCGAAAACTTTAAGTACTTGTCGTTTCACATTGATGTCGAGTCATTGTCGTTGTTTTATCCGGTGTCTCATTTGTGAGAATATGCACGCACCTTCTTTTTATAATACTCGCTCATGTAATGTAAAGGTATGTTTTGGCTTTACGCGATGTCCACTTGTCTGTTAAAACGTGAAATTTATAATATATATTTTCAAAGGAGTATATGCTACATTCTACCTTAAAGGTTTAGATAGCCAAGTTTATATAACTATAGATATCTTTTACTAATTGACTTATTAGCTCTATAATATTTGAAAACGGGTATCATGCAGTTGGTAGACCATGACTTCAAATGGTCTTACTGATTTGCCCTTAAGATTTACAGATTTTATTTTAATTTTTTCTTCCTCTACTGCTTCGTCCTCTGTCGAACCCCTTTTTAAGTGGGTTACGTGTACGCACACAAACAAAATGTGAGTTATATGACGCTCCGAGGTTTGCCACACGAAGCATTTCCGTACGACAAATTGGACAGAAAAAAAGAAGAAAAAAAAGGAGAAAAGGTTTCCAAACTGTGCACGGAGCGGAAAGTGTAAATTGCATTGGGTGAAGTCAAGTGAACTGGGTGGAAAGCGTGTTAGGATTGGATTGGGGACAAACAATGCCAGAGGGGCAGCTGAGAATAGGGAACACACACATACCACAATATTGCTACACATGTGTGTGTGTGAGTGTGTGTAATAATAGCCATTAGTTTGCTTGTGGCTAGTAGAAACTTGGGAGACATTTGCAGAATTATGTTCATGTCTTAATTAGAATGGCTCGCTCAGCGACCGTAGCTGTAGCACGGCTCATAAATTATTTATATGCAATGGGCATGAAATTTAAATAATCAAATTCCACCTCAAATCCTGGACACACTGATACACACAATCCACATTTATCGTTAACATAATCGAAAACTTGTCCTTGGCCAGATCCATGCACAAGCTTAGCCCAAGAATGGAAAATCATTTTACATAAATTATGCACTCACTCTGAGAATTTGAAATGAACACACAATTGAGATTCGACATGCCCATTAATCATTCATTTCGTATGCCTCTCGAGCTGTCACTTAGACCATCATGAAATAATCGCCAATAGGCAGCTGTCAATTCGGGAATCGTATCAAATGATGTTCATTTTAAGTGAAATTTAATAAGAGAATTGATTCTGCTGTTTCAAAGACAATATGCAAATGCTCATCAAGAAAAACTTTAATTGGTATACAGAACTTTCTTATCTAACTAATTGCCAGGCCGTCTCCTCTCCTTCTTTTTGCGTTCTTTAAAGCATTTAATATTTCTTTAACATTCTCTAAGAACATTAGCATTTAAACAAAGTCATATAAAATCCTTGCTTTAGGCTTGCTTATATACATTTTTCTCTAAACTCTGCTCTACAAAAAATCCTGAACGATTTCCCATTTTCACGTGTTTCCACTCAGCTCTAACCCTAAAACAAATGCAACATAACTTTAATTAAATGAAAATTATGTTTTGGGTGGGCATTTGAGAGAGAGAAAGACGCCCACTCCTACTCCTGCTTCGAGTCCTGCTCCTGCTCCCACTCAGTTCCTAGCGCTTGCTCAGACTCTGACTCCAGGTTGCTCGGTCATACGTGACTAATGAATTACTTATGTAAGTGCCAACAAATTAAGCAGGATAAAATGCATTAACTTTGCTGCACTGCAACAATTTTGGGTAACACTCATATATTGTATGTGGCATGTCTAATGAAACTTTTACATGACTTGATGTCCTGGTAATTGGTTGAACATATATGGATAACGATATTTAATGCTACGCTGCAACATCAACTCGTACACCTCGTCATCAAGTATATCCGGATAGTCCATATCGTCATCCAGATAACTCGGATCCCAGTTGGGTAGTGGAAATGCGCTCGATAGCAACAGCACATTCAGCAACAGAAGACATATCAACCATATCATATAAGCCATTTTATACATAGTAAATTAAATTGTCTGGAAAGTTTGAATTTTTTATAAAAGTTGTGTTGATTGTTTCTAATAATGTATTTAAATGCCTTGCAGCAATGCTTGCTTTTTAAATAGGTAGAGATGAAGGCACGATTAACTATATAGATCATTTTTTATATCGATTAATTATCGAACTGATTCGAGACATACTCATTTGACTGTTTTTAAACGCAACGATCTCATATATATATATATATA